CCATGAGGCAGCTGTTCTCCTGCTCTTCACACAGTGATAGACTAGCCTTATCATTGCCACAGCAGCAACACTTTATTGTTTTACACCTTGAGTCATTTATCGTGTATGTGTGTGTCCTTGTTTTTCTACGCTTGGTGGGACGTAAAACCAGGAGGACATGCAGGTACTGGAGGCTGGTCCTCATGATGCAGTTCCTCAAATATTCTGAAAAACAACAGTGTAAAGTTAGAGCAAGTGTCAGCTTTGGTTGGGGTTAGGTTGGGATAAGACTCCAGGAAATTAATGTAAGTCTTTGAAGGGGTCTGGTAAGTGACTAAATCAAGGTGTGAAAGAGAGAGAGACAGAGAGAGAGAGAGGGAATAGTCATTCTGTTTTTTCCATTTTTCTTTGTGTGATAAAATTTTCATCTAACTTTGTCTTGTCTGATTTCTGTACATTTTGATTTTTATTCTTGGAAAAATCAGTATGCCAAAGTGTGTGTGTGTGTGTGTGTGTGTGTGTGAGAGAGAGAGAGAGAGAGAGCTCATGTGTATGCATGTATGTGTATGCATGTGTGTTTATGTGCATGGAGGAGGACGATCCTCTTGGCTTGGTTGTATTCTACAGTGCATGTGTCTCCAGTATGTTAGTGATGCTACTGGAGACCCAGCTCTGTTGGAATAACAACCAGGACCCACTGCAACGCTACCAGCCTCCCTCTGACCTTGCTGTGTGTGTGTGTGCCTCAGACACATTGATTTAGTCTTTACGCTTGCTGCTCTTCACCCCTCTGCCCCCACAGTGACTGACAGATGACAAATACACATCAGTAATTCACTGAACTCAAACACTGCAGAGTGACAATATGTCCCATGCTGATTTAAATATCTACCGGTAAACAAACATCACATGACATGAAGGAGTAAGTGAGCTAGTACCTTGCTGAAAACAGAGTGACTTGTCAGAGAGTATAAATTGTTGATTTAAATATATAGCCATTAATGAGCTTGCCTTTAATCATCTGCAAGTGGGATGCATTCCGTTCTCTTACTGTTGGATCAAGGTCAAACCTCTTGAAGTGCAGATTGGCTTGATTCACTATGTTGGGTGGCTCTGTGAACAATGCAGCAGATAAGAAATAGTTACTCTAAAGACTTCAATTAGCTTTTTAAACTAATCCTCCCGAGTGAGTCTTTAGTTAAGCTAGGTCTTTATTTAATGTGGCCAATTTAGAATATTAGTATTCAGCTAATCAGCTAATCTTAACTGACTGTTACTCTCAGTACACTCATGAGTGTAATCAGGTACTAATGTCAGGGTGTTTTTCATTTTAAATATGTTGTAAAATAGTTGAGAATGGCAGTAATATATCACTGCAATGAAAACTAAACTCTTGTTCAGGAGCTTTTAGTAATAAATATATGGTGTTGTGCATCTGGTCCAGAGCTGAAGGGGGATTCATCTTTTTTAATCATTTGGAATATAACTCGTATCCTGTGTTTCCTGCACTCAGTTAATTAAATTTACCTACAAATGACATTTGGAACAGTGACTCAAAGGAAGTTTAAAGACTGTAGAATATCTTCATATTTAGGTGACTCCCAATTGTGGGGGTGATGATATCTCCCCCCCTGACCTGTCGTCCTGGCTCCCCCTTGCCATAGCATTCATGTTGTACCTTGTCAGCCTCTAGTTGTGATAGCACGTGCTTCTTGTGGATGTTAGAACACTTGTATAGTAGCATTCCAGTAGTTCCCTGTTCTCATCTCTTGTCCATGAATGTCTTGGTCTTGTTCCAGTAGCCCACTTCCCATCAGGTTGCCCTCAGTGTGGACCTTACTGACCCGTTCTACATCCGAGCCTGTTGACTCCTGTGTTTTCCAACTCTTATTACCAATGAGGTAGGCAGGGTAGCATTAAGGGCCTTGTCTAAGGGTCCACGCTGAATATTGACCATGCCCTGACCAGGGTTTGAACCCCCAACCTTCCATACCAAAGTCAGTGGTGTTAACTGAGTTCAATACATTTATCTCTGAGCTCAAAGAAATCTTTGCTTACCAGGCAGCCAAAGCCAATAAAGCTTAGAAATAATGTGCAGATATTATCTGGCCTAGTTCAGAACATTATACAGAGCTGATTTGGCTTTATCGTGCTAACTGCAGCTCTGTCCATGTAGACTTAATTAAACTTTTCTGTGAGCTGTCCTCCTGGAGTTATGCTGCAAATATCTGCCTCACTCTCTATTAACTCTGATTTATGATTGATGTAGTTCAGGGAAAAGATTGAATGACTGGGTAAATTTTTGCCTCGCTTTTTTTTTTTTTTTTCTTGTTCAACATTCAAGCCCTGCTTCACTGTTACTTGATTTCCATACCATTATACTTGTGAGCTGACTGCTATGTTATCCTTGAAATTGATGTTTTGGAAACAGGAAAAATGGTCAAGCATAAGGATTTGAGTGACAAGGGCCAAACTGTGATGGCTGAAGTAGAAGATTGTAGGAACATAGAAGATTGCTGAAGTCTTTTTTTATCACTGCTCAATAGAGAGCATATTGACATACTCCATCCTGGCATGGTTTGGAAACTATTCAAAGGCAGACAGGGCAGCTCTCCAGTGGGTGGTCGACACAGCACAAAAAAAATCATTTGTCTCTCCCTTCCGCCCCGGAAAACTGCTACAGCAAGGCCTGCAAAATTATCAGGGACAATACTCATCCTTTCCACCATGTTTTTACATTGCTACCCTCTGGAAGGCACTACAGGGCCTAGAAGTGCCAAACCACGAGATTGAGGAACAGCTTCTACCCCGTAGCTGCTCTTGGCCCTCTATCCCACTGTCCCCACCTCTATTATCTTATTAGGCCTTGACTGTTTTCATGTGAGCAATTGCGTGCAATGGTCACAATGCAATTCTAATATTTTATGTACTTCATTGAGTCAACTATACCTGTATAGAGTGTGGGTGTGACTGATGGAAGCATCTCTAGGAGAGCTGTCTTTTAAATTTTATTGTTTTCAGTGCAATGACAAGATATTCTATTCTATTCCATTCTGATGACTGGGTCAGATCATCTCCCACACTGCAGGTCTTGTTGGGTGTTCCTGGTCTGCAGTGGGCAGTACCTACCAACAGTGTCTAAGAAAGAACAAACAGTGAACCAGCAATGAGGTTGACCCACTGTAGATTAAACTTTTAAATTTCATTCATCATTTTCAAAACATTCCATTTAGTTTGAATCTTTGTTAAAATGGTTGAAAATTAGAAGTACTGTACACTGGTCTCTATGAAGCGAAGCATTCAGTGGCTACACACTCCTAGAGTGGGGAAGCTGGTGAATTTGTCTAAATGATTATCTCCAACTTGTCCTCATGACCGCAGTTTTCACTCTTTTTACATAAGTTTTTCACCGTATGATTGACGAATGTGTGCTCTTCCTCACAGTAGAACTATGGAAGCAAGCTGAAGATGTACAGTGAGCTGTAGAGTGACACGATGTGTATGTGTGTGCAGTGGTTTGGGGAGTTTGAGAAAAATAGAGAGGAATCTGTGTTTGGTTACGCTGATCACAGGGATCCTTCAAAATGTCAGAGCGCTCCAAGTGATTAGAGAGGCTCCAGATAAAGACAACAGCAAAGAGTGCAGCCTGATGAAAGGGGCAATGGAGGAGAAACGGGGAGAAACCTTGAGATCAAAGTAAATTTTTGGCAGTTTAGTTAGAAAAATACTGTATTCTTAGTCTCTGTGCAAATCAAAATACAAGGGCCACGTGCTGTAATGGGGCAAATAAACGTTTATTTCTGTCCGCTCGTCTCTGTTTTCTTGGTCAGCATTTTTTTTCTTTGCACATTTGGATAGTGACATCCTTGATGCATTGGCAATATAATGTACACTGATAGAAGACACCGAAGTCCCACTTTCTCATGCCCGCAGGGCAAAATGTGAATGCCTGTTAGCCAGCCCTTGAGTTGACATTAAACATCATACACTCACCAGCTGACAACAGTGTCAAACAGGGAAATGATTACATTTAGCCTTATTCTCAGGCCAGGGTCACTATAACGATTACCAAATAGACTATATTCTACAAAACTAACAGTAACGAGTATAAAACTTTTTTTGTCAATGTAGGAAACACACACTACACTACATTGTAATATTGCATTCTTAATACAAGGTGTAAGCTAGGTCCAGATTGACTTGCCGTCTGGTCCGGATCCAGACTGGCATATGGACTTTGAGAAGTCCTGGTGTAGGTCTACAGTTTGCCACTATTGTGGTTGCAGTATTGGCTCCCTGGTAGCAGGCTGAGTGCTAATAGGTTAGGTTATTAGCCTACTGCTAATAACCTAGTCTCCTGGTTCTCTGTTACTAAATTGCTTTTTGGAATAACAGAGAAAATAAAGAGAGAGTGACAAACTCTCAGCCAGACTCTAAATATACATTTGCTCATTTGGCTTAGATTTCTTTGATGCACTCAACATAAAACCACTTTGGCTGTGTTAGCCATCATTTACTAGCTAACCAAAACAAGATGCTAGTGATTTCAGTGGTCTACAAATGACTGATTTTAGACTTCTGGTCAGATTGTGGGTCTGAATGAGGCTCAGACATAAAAAATGGCTGAATATCTCCAATATTCATTCCTGCCACCTTATCCTGATACCAGAGGGAAACCAGTGGTTGTGGGCCATGTGCAATATCTGGCCTCATTTGCATATATTTGTATAGTTGTACTTATTGGAATTCATAATGGAAGCCAACAGAACATATGTGTTTTCGACCTATTTTTAGAGGTTTTCGTGGAAAATCTGTTGAGTATTATTTTTACTATATATGCCTTTAAAACGTCTCAGGAGCAGTAATGGGTAATTAATTACCTGGTCTAAACCAAGAGAAAAACAGGTATACAGACAAATGCAATGTCCCTAAAACCCCAGCATGAATTAGTGTGACATTTACAGAAGTGTAACATTTTAGTTGTAATATTCATACACTATTTTGCACACCGAGAGACTAGCAGACATTACGTCTTGCTTCAGATGAGTACACTGCCATAACAAATTATAAATGACAATATTGTAATGAGTATAATGAATATTGGAACTTTGAGAATATTTTTTAAATGAAATCAAAATTATTAAATTGAAGGAAGAACTCTGCAGCATAATCATTATGGCCCTTCACTTTGTCCTGTCATGTTGTTTTGGTTCTAACAGCTCTGTGTTCCAGGGGAATTTAATGTCTCTTGTATTAAGAATTTACTCTGTAATGGCATTTTCATATCAATTCAGACAAAAGCTTTGGTCAAATTCACATGAACTGAAATACCATTAAAGAGAAACAAACTATGTTAGTGTTATGAAATCACATTGCTCTTTTCATTCAAATTCTGGAGGCTGTCTTGCTTCAGTTTTGAACTAACTGACTGCTTACATTGCCCTCTGAGTAAGTCTTGCTGAGGATGTTCAGTAAATCTTAACAAGCTCATTGGATTCAGTGCATGTGTTATGGTGTCTCTATCCTGTGTGTTGGGGTTAGAGGGTCAGGGTAAGGGTTGTGAATGCATATGTATGTGTGAGGGTGTGTGTGAGAGAGAGAGAGAGATGATAGAGAAGCAGGTAAATGAGTATAACAGATGGTTTGAGGTCAAAAGACAGTCTGACATTTACCACAGCATACTTAAATCTTATTGATAGTAATACACGTACAAACACCAGGCACACAAAGAAGAGGATGGCAGGTTACAGCGTCTATCCTCGACAAAGTCTTGACAGCAGAGTGGGAACAATTGGGAGCCAGAGATGTTCATTGTTTGCCTGCTGGTCACATCTGATTTCGATCAAACATTACTTATCAGGATTTGCACAAGCATTTCAAGTTCCACAGCTTAAGATGCAACACACTCACATTCTTTGTCTCTCAAACACACAGACACAATACGACACCACACCACACCAACACATGGGCTGGCAGAGGTCCAACTTCATTACAGCAGCACTCTGCAAGGCTTATTGAGTGATCAAAGCTAATCACATTTAATCATATCTAATTATATGTAATAAGCAACTCCAAGTGCTCAGGCATGACAAGGCTCTTCACACTTGCTCCATTTCTCCCTTTTCCTTTCTTCTCCTTTTTCACTCGTTGACCCTCCTGTCCTGTCCGCATACCCCCTCACCTCAACAGAGTGACGAGAAAGCGAAAGAAGAAGGGTGTCAAAGAAAAAAAGACAAATAAAACAGAGGGGGCGGATTGACGCCCTCAGTACAACATCAACTCCTCCAGCAGGTGCAGTTCCCAGTACCTTTGTGGTGTAGTCCGCTTAAGGCTGTGTGACTAACAGCTTTGTCAGAACAATTGGAAGAGGACGATCTAGCAGTCATAGACAATATTTCCAACATTATCATCATCTTTATAGTTTCTGTTCGGTGCACAGTTTTAAAAGATGCAGTGTCTTAAGCTTCTGCGGTTTTTTGTATGCTTTGATGAAATGTTTCGTCGGACTTCGGACATGAGATGATAATGCAGTGTGATAGCTGTACCTGGTAGGGATTTAGGCAGACTGCACACAGTGTAAATATTCCTTTGATGTGAATTTATAGATAAAATTGTGTTTATGAGACAGTGAGGCTCTGTATAGTTGTTTGTAATGTTTGTGGAAGGTGAAAATGTAAAAACCTTGAGGTTAAAACTCAGTCTTGCATGACCTTAAAATATAAGCTCCCCTGTTATTGCAGAGCAGCTCTCCTGTTTACCTCTTTATCTTTACCCTGCTTCCAAATTTAGTCTTTATTAAAGTAGAAGGCTGCTTTGAGAGGACCACACAGAGCATGAAGGGAAAACAAACTGCCCCCACATTGCAGTTATACTGTCCTTTTTAAGGTGTTAGTGCTTCACGCAGCATCTGAAACGCCTTGCCCCTACACTTCCCTGACAGTGTGATAAGGGACAGTGTATTTATTTATTCATCCATCTATTAACCATACCGCTTATTCTTGAATAGGATCATGGGGGAGCTGGAGCCAATCCCAGCTGACATTGGGCAAGAGGCGGGGTACACCCTGGACAGGTTACCAGTCTATCACTGGGCTGGCATGTAGACAACCAACACACAATCTAATATATAGGATAAAATAATGAATTATGCATTCCAAAATGTCTGACCTAAAGTTCTGGGCAGTTGCAAAATACACTCATACTCAGTTTCTTTATTATTTTTATAATGTCACTGATTTATATAATTTAATGTCATTTCATTTCAATAATTTTTGTAGAATTTTTACATAAAACTATTTCCTTTTTAAAAATACTTTTTATTCAATGTATGCCATAGTTTTAAGGGCTTGCAGTGCAAAGAATTGAAAGGAGCGGGGCTTGTCACTTGTGGGTTGACCAGTGAAACACTTTGACATGTCAGACAATATGTTGTATGATCTACTTTGTTGCAAGCACAACCACGGCCTTTACTCTGAAGAACTGTCACTTCCTTCTGGTTTGTTTCAGCTGCGGTTACATCCTTCATGCTTGTCTGTCTTTAGGATGTGTGGGTGTATTGATTTTTGGTCTGGAAATATTACTTAAGATAAGCTCCACACAGTCAGAGACGGAACCCGAAGAGGTTTACAACTTTAAAACATATATCGTCCACTCAACACATACTTCAAGAAATGAGAATATAAATCCCTAAGACAAATGTTTCGATAGTGTCTTAAGCAAAGTGCTTTCTGTCCGCCCTGTTGTAAACCTGAGTATGGTCACCTGACCTCCCATTTCATCACATGAACAACAGCCTGTCTACATCACAAACATATACAACAAACAGGAAAAGAGAAACATTTGAACATCAGAGCACATCAGTAAAACAAAAATATAACTACCATTGTATACAAAATATTATACATTTCCTACAAAGTCAACATTACACATTAAATTCTACACAAATCTCACAAAGAAATTAAAGTAGTAAAACCAGTCACCTCACAGAAAAACTATTAACCGCTAAACAGTTTCATATCCATATTTACATAAACACTCAGACAACTATTCATACCTGTAACAAATTAATCACAGAAAAAAATGGTGTCAATAACACTTCTTTAAATCCCAGGTTGCAAAGTCTGTAAAAGGCAAATCCATCAGACTCTGTCCTCAGCAATGTATTTTCTACTTCACACCCTCTCTAGAATTTTTTTTAACACGCTGTATCACTGTAAAGGAAAGCCTGATGTAGAATGTTTCATTTCCTAGAAATGTGTCGCCTCTGAGGATTTCTCATCCCTTCTTCTGATGGCACTCAAATGTTCAGTAATGCCAGATTTCACAGGTCCCCAAGTCTTGCCCACATACCGTAAGCCACAGGTACACATTAATAAATAAATCACATTACTGGAATTACAGGTGGCCACATGTCTCATCCCAACTTGTAAATTTGTCTGTACACAGGGGCAAGCCACACATTTACAACAAGGAAAGAAATCTTTCATATATACATATATATATGCATATATATGTGTGTGTGTGTGTGTGTGTGTGGCATCAAGGCAGTATGGAACTAGAGAAAGATGGTTCATCAAAGTCAACAAAGATAATAGACTGGCTCTTGTTAAATGACTGATGAGATGCAGATTGTCATTAAGCTGACCACCATATTTTCAAACACTCCTCAAAGTTAAGTGCTTCTATCAGATTTTCAAAGAGAGCATCAATGAGGGAAGCAGATATGTGGTTTGTGAACCATGAGATTTTTGCCCGTAGTGCTGCGACAGACTCCTCCGTGTCATGAATAATCTGTTTTTTCCTAATGCTGCACATGAATTGTCGAGCGCTTGCTTTTTACAGTGCCAAAGTAAAAGCATTAAGTGTCCTGAAGAGCAAAACTAATGTCAGTAATCCCTGAAGACATCAGTTCATTTTGAAGTGCCTCGCTTGTGTCTGCAACCGGCAGGGATTGTTGTGTGTTTACCGAGTATGACACAGTTTAAATATTGTTTCAGATGCCTTTGTTGCCTGCCAAGATAAATATCTGCGAAAGAGCTGTTGCAACATAAACCATGTACCCACATAAAAAAAAATAAATAAAAAATACACAAAACTATAGCCAAGGCCTTGGGTTAAGGAGCTGCACACTGTGATCACAAACAAACAACCAAGCAGACATCAGGACATCTGTTTGTCTCTTTTTCCAGGATGCTTTGCTGCGGCTGGCGGCAGTTGTTGACTCGCACTCGCTGCGAGTGGCCCTTCGAGACAGTGTACAGGAGCTGCTTCCCAGCACGGTACTTGCACGAACACACAAGCACACTCTACATTTACAAAAACAGTTGAACATAAATGAAGATTCCTCATTTTATTACCTGGAGCTTCCTCTTAGTATTCTGGGTGGGGGAGCTAAATGATATAAGACCAGGGAGTGCAGGCCCAGGCCTTGTTGTAAATGGATGAGGTTCATCACACACCAAACTAATCTGAAGAATGTGATTAATATTACAAATGAATGCACACGCATTGTATATTTGGGTGTTTTATTCCAGGAGTGTGTATGTGTCTACATGCTGGAGGGAGACCTGAGGCTGCTGTCTGATGACCCGCCACATGAACTGCCACAGGAGGGAAAGATCAGGTGTGTACTGTGCGCAGCAAGCCACAGATGTTTCATCTCAGTGAATCACCGCTGTGTACTGATTTGCTGCAGCACTGCAGAAGGCAACGATACCTAGAGAAGCAACAGAACATGGTGAGAGGAAGAGGGGAAGGGAGGCGGCTGTTTTCTCTGTGTTAAAAGTCAGTGTCACCTGAATGAATATGAGCCTCTCAACCTAAAATCACAGGAATAGCATTGTTACAGAGAGATGTCATCATGGAGAAACAACATGGAGCCTCTTTCTTTCTTATTTTTAGCCTTTAGCTTTACTTCTCTCATCTGCCATTTCTATTGCTCTCATTAAAACTTACCCTTTATCTCACTTGTGCCCTTCTTAATCACAGCTCTCTCTGTCCCTCTGGTCTAATCTTCTATCCCACCTTCCAGCCTCAGTCTGTCTTTGCCCTTTTTTTCCTCCCAGCCCACTGTCTCCACTAAGAGCCATGAAGCACTAAGCCAGCTGTGCTCCAGTCTTTCCACAAACCCCTCACCCACCCCTCTGCGATGCACCTCTCTCTCTCTTTCTCTCTCTCTCACCTTAAATCCCTCTCCCCATGGAAGAGTTGCAGGGCTAATAGCTGAGGTGATAGGGCCCGGGGTCCCCCAGTGACACACAGATATCGTCTCCTCTGTAAAGTGCTCTCCGAAGCTCTACAGCCCCATGTGCTGCTGTGACTGCTTCCCAGGTGTGGTCAAAAACCAACACTACATTATTGATGAAATGTCTGTTACTCAAAAACAAACCTTTTTCCCAACAGCTCATTGCCCTATAGACATAGGATTGCACACAAACATGCAAGGACACAAGCACAGACCACAAGTATGTGTGCACACACACACACACACACACACACACACACACACACAGTTACATATGCATTTGTCAGGGCTGCATGCAGTTTAGAGGTAATGGGAATATTAAAGAAGGTACAGGGCACTTTGTTACATTTCTCTCTCCAGTTCACCTGCTTATATAAGCTTGTTGTCAAGACCTTGGCATACAGTACACACACACTTGCACAAAGAAGCACAAGCACCCACGCACATACACACTCAGTGAACCCATCTGAGAGGCTGGAGTACTGTTAGAAATACTGCACAATGAAGATGTACAGCCCAAGATCTAAAATACCCACATTGAGAGACAAACAGTTTTTGTACATCTGATGGATTATTTGTTAGTTGTCAGGTTGTTTTGTTTCCATTAAGCGCTTACCCATTTATTGAAAAGGCATTTTACTTAAAATGCAGATGGCAGGTGATTGACAAGGTATTTTTGGTCTGTTTTTACAACTTTCAGTTTGTCACACAATTATGGGATAGTCTTTAATTACTTGTAGATTTAATTTGTCAGCCAATCACATTAGAGAACCCCAGATACTACTTACAATGTAAATTGTACAGTATCTCAATTATTTATGTTCGGCCTAAGTGCAAAACACAGCTGTAAAACAGAAAACAATGACTTTTTACAAAACCAACATGTCTTCTAATGTGAACAGCCACATAGGACATTTGTTCCTTTTCTCAGATGTAGAAGTTGTAGAAACAGACCAGAGGCAGGCACGCCTGACCTTACCATCACCATAATCGAAATAAACATGCACTTAAGATTGTGTTACGGTAACAGTCTGGTTAGGTTTAGGAAAAGATTGTGATTAGTGTTAAACAAGCACTTTATTAAGGTTGTTGTCATGTTACAAAAGTAAACACCAAGTTAAGGTTGTGGAATGGAAGCAGATAAAAGAAACACCACCGACTGAACTGATCATCAGCTGATCGACGTAAGCTCAAACTACTCACCTACACACACACAAACATGAGTGGCCTATTTAAATGTCCTTCTTCGAGTCTTTGGTACTGCTGCTGCTAAGTATTGCCACTGAGCACCACCGCAAAGTGTAAACACACCTCCCACTACTCCAGCCTTGACCTATACGTCATTCAGTGTGAGCTGTTGTTGCTGTTATCTGCTGCTACCTGGCCAGCAGCCACCACTGTACCGCCAGCAGACAGCTTTGGTTGACCTTAATATCATCTCCATACACACAACATATGTAGGAAATTAGCTCAATTATGAATTTGGGAATTACTGTATTAATCAGAATTATTGCACATAACTGATTTAAGCATTTGTACACTGATATGGCTTAATACATCCAGACGTAATAACACTTACAAGAGAATTAACTTAAACAGTTGAGGTAGAAAAGAACTGGTGAAGTGACTGTGCCATAAGTAAAAGAAAAGACCAGGACCAGACATGTTGATTACTACAACCTGACAAAAAATTATTCATAGCGTAATACACATTGCCAGTTGTAACTCAAGCATTGCTAGTGTAAATGAGATTTGTACTGGCGTGTCCGTGAGCTGTTGCTGCTGGATCGGAGATGCAGTGAGGCTGGCGTGTCAGGTCAGGTCAAGGAGCAAGAGGGATGAGAGTGGAGTCGGGGTCAGCTCACAAGGACTTCCAGCTAACAAGTTGCACTCGTGGTTCAAGCTTTAAAGGCACAGTTCATTCGTTTCAACACGTGACCAATAAGGAGAAGTGCTCCCCAACAACGGACCTACACTCACCCCAAACGGTGGAGTTGTATTGTATGTATTTTATTTATTATATGTATTGTATGTATGTTATTGAATCATGGTGACTGAGGATGCGCAATGCTGAAGTTGCACGGATTAAAATGAAACCAAGAAGTATCTATTCCCACAGTTTCCAAATAATGTAGTCATACAATCTGACTTGCAAATTAGATTATAGGGTGACATACTATGTCACCACTAAACTGAGGATTATGAAATATCACACAGAAATTACAAAGAGTATACTTAGAGGTTACATATGAATGAAACACCAAACTTGACAGTCCAGCAGATGTATGCTTGTCTGTAAGTGGAATGAAAGTCTTTAGGTCATTGAGGAGACCATGTGCTTTCATGTCTGAAAAGGTGAAGCGAGTGCACTGGGGTGAGAAAGTGAACAGAGCTGTGTGCAGCCTACAGTTTGATGCACATCCAGCTCCAGTGTGGGGATTCACGGATGTGTCTGTTATTGTGATGACAGTGTGAGGGCTTTAAGTTAATGTAGCTAGCTGATGATTAGAGATTCCATTTTCAGTCCAGAGTGGTTGTGAAAACTGCGAGTCAATTGTCGGTCACCCAGCGTTTGCTCTTTTCCCTGTTTGTTTTATGACACATGTTGATCTCCAGACCCTGCTGGGTGCCGCTAGGATTGCTCTTTGCTCGCACTTTCATGCTCCATTTTAGGTCAACATAATAAAAATGTGAGAAGTGGATTAGGGTCTTGCACATCAAAAGGGGAAGGTCCAGCTTCGGTGATGGGGGCTGTGACAGCTGGCACTTGGCCTCCTGATGCTTCTTCTGATCCTACACATTTAAGTATACAATTTATCATCTAATGTATTTTCACGTGTGAACAGACAACACTGAATAACATTATTGTTCCATCTGTCCCGTGTGCCCTTTGTTTTTCTCTTCGCTGTGCCAAGGATGAATTGGCCTCGTGATCATACAGAAAAGCACACAAAGGTCAGCTGCATTTGCTACAATAGTAAACTACAATGAGAATGTTTTTGACTGAAGTGGCCTATTCCTCAGTGAGCTGAAATAAATGGACACTTTTAAATCACTGCGCCACACAATAATTTGGCTACAATGGTTCAAGGGGATTTCAGACCTTGTGAGCATGTAACGGAGTGATTGCTGCACTGTTGTGTTTGTGCGTGAATGGCTGCAAAAGGATTCAGTAGATTATTAAAGGACGTGATGTACATGACATAGATCACGATTTTACCTGTGTGGCTTCTTTTTATCATGCAAGTCTGTGTGTGTATTTACTAAAGTGTGCAGCGACACTGTCGCTGCACATGTTTTGTGCACGTGCATGCACATGTGTGTCTTTGGCAGTAGTCAGTCCAAAATAAACAAATCCTTGTCTCAAATTTTAGCACAAGAAAGCTTCCCTCTGTATTCAACACACACCCACCTACACCTTTGCCATGGTCACACCTGGCCAACACCTGCGCACACAAACAGTGGCTGTATTGAGTTCATCTGATTTCACAATGAATAATATGTTTCTTCATACTTTTTGTGGTTAGTGTCAGTGAGCGCATCTGTTTTTATCATGCTGGTAAACGTTTTTCCATTTACTGCAATTGGTCTTCTAAATCCCCTCTTCCTCTTTGCTTCCACAGTGTCTGACAGACTCAAACTCAAACTCCACTTGTATCTGTCCGTCTTAGGAGTATCGCGGACCAGCTGAAGCGATGTCAGTGTGCTGGCCTTCCCCCCTCTGAACTGCCGGAAAAGTACAGAATCTGCCTTGCAGCACCGTTGCCAGCACACAGAAGAGGTGTGTATGGTCACACAGCATGTGTACTGTATATAGGGTCGCAGAGAGAGCTTGAATGATGCTGGTGGACTGACAAATGGACCGACATCTGAGTGTGTTTGCGCTTGTTTGAGGATGTGCGCGTGTGCACCTGTACACGCAGAAGGGCAGAGAGATATGAGAATGTGGGAGGAAAAAACAAATGAGTGGAGGTAGAGAGAGAAGCGGTAGACAAGAAATAATGATTGCTGTGGGAGAAGCATGGAGCTGCGTGGGCAGTAACACTGGACAAGAGACCCCAAACTGCAATGAAAGGTCTATGATGAAAAAAAATGCAGGAGCATGAGTGGGGTAGAGTTACTAGACTCTGCATTCCTCTTCAAATGAACATTTTTATTTAAAAACAGCGAATAACCTGGAGTTATGAATTCATATGTCCAACTGCTCTATGGATCAATAAATACCCTAGATGCCTTTCAATCATGTTGCAGAAATAGTTTTGTACCAATCTGGCAAACACACATCTGTTTGCTGTTTAGTGTGCTGGCCATACCTACAGCAATTCTCCATTATCTAACATATTTTGCCTGTGTGGAACTGCCGTTGCTATATGATCTACATCAATGAGAATAACAAATGAAAGAAAAGAATCAAGTGTTGTGCAAGGACATTAGGTATGGTGTTCATTTCCCCTGCATATTTCTAGTATTAGCACACGGAGGAGCAAGAAATGAGATTAAGACCGAGACAAGGACATGGAAAGAAAATTAAAGGAGGGCAAGAAAAGGACCCAGAGTCTGTTTTGTCTTAAACGTAATCAGTGAATGATGTTTTATGAATGGGTTTCTTTCTTTCTTTCACTCAGCTGTTGTCATTCCTCTCTTGGACCAGACACAGCACAGGGCCATTGCTGTTTTACTGGTGAGTCTTTCAAGGACATACAACAGCCTTTCAATAGATAGATGAATAAAACAAAAGTAAAAAAAATCAACTCCTACTGATTACGTCTGCAATGCCTCCTCCTTTCTGAAAAGGTAGATGTTTACAATTGAATAACACATATGGATTTATTTGGTTCTACTGAACATGCATACATTCAATGAGCTCCACGGGGACAGCACAGCCTGCAACAATCAAGCTCATGTACTGGACTTGACTGTAATGTCTTTGTGTGTTGCAGGTTGGCTGTAATCCACTCTCCGATCAGGATGAACTGCATCTTAACATCCTGGAAAAACATGTAACCTCTCTCTCTTTCTCTGTGTGTCTTAGTCAGAAGTGTGAAAAAAGAAATAACTTGGCAACTGTAGCTGACTCACTAGGAGAGTTTGCTCTTTATTTAACCAATAGGTTTCGGCACAGAGCCATCATCAGTGTTTTACGTAAGGGGTGAAGCACAGCCTCTTTATACTCTGAGGATGATGTTATGTTGATTATCCCCTGAGAACAGACACTGAAGGATGCTGTGCCTACAAAAAAACTGACAGTAAAAGCAGCAAAAGCAATCAGTTCTTCACAAAAACAAGGACAGAGGGAAAGCAGTCGACTGCTAATACATTGCCAAAACCACAAACCTGTCCTGTATTAAACCATTTTTAAAAGTCTCTCAGTTGTATGTTTCTGAGATTATAAACCCATGAAGCCTCTGTTCATTATTTAATACATTCACAGCCCTCCAACCGCCTCAATCCATCACTGAGCGCTTGGGCCCCAGAAATGTCTGGCTACTGGATGTTTCATATCTCTGCAAACATGCATATACTGTCATCACACACACACAAGTTTAGTAGAGATTGCTGTGTAAGACTGATGATGATTGCCCTAATGGCTTTTCAATTCATTTTTGTTGGCTGGATGAAAGATAATACAATGACATTAAGCTGTTTTTCATCTGTTTTCTCTCTGTACTGTATATACTGTTAACTCAGCTGACATTAGCACTTGTCTGCATGCGTTTTCTGCATGTCTTCATGATGTTGCAGGCCTCAGTGGCGTGTGTGCGAGTCCAGGCTGTTCAGACGTCATACCAGAGGCCTCCTCTCAGCCCCTCACTCATGCAGTCCCACAATGCACTGCTGTACCCCAATGTCTCACAACAGGACTACTGCGAGCTGGACCGCAACATTCTGCAGCTCTGTGGTATACACACACACACACACACAGATAATACGTCTTGCTAACAACATACAGTACACAATGACATTAAGTACATCCAACTTCTCTTTCTTTGACCCTGTTGTCCTCTTTCCCATTCTCTCCCACACATGCATCTTACAGTTTCCACTAGGGAAGTAGGAATATCCTGGATACATCACAGAAAACAGTCAGGAATGACTGTGTGCAACACTTTAACAGAAACAAACTGGATGCACATATGCAAAACCGACCACTTGGCAAACACCCTTAAAGTCTTTTCTCTTGAAAAAGTAGATCAGGATGTTTGAAAAACACCAACAATAAAGGACAGATATCACCTTTATGTGGCTTGTTGTAGTGTATTTTGGCTTGTTATGTTTACAAGATCCAACTATGTCAATAACATTTTATTTTATTACACCTTTCACTTTTAATATTGTGATAAATATCCTATTGTGGGCTTTTTATGGTGGCAATATCATACTGGGAGTTTTTGGTATTGTTACATCCCTACTCCTCACACCTTATATGGTACAAAACCCAAGCATAATCACGTACACACACTGGACAATGTATATCAGAGGTGAGTTATGTTAATAGAGGAAGGCCATCTGGATTAAAAGCTCTCTGAAATTAGAGGACGCTATCACTGGCACAAGAAATGTGTGACAACTCCTGAGTGAAAACAGAATGCTTTACAAAAACACTGTTTAAAGTCCCATGCATAATGGAAGTGGACTCACTAACGCTGTTCCTGTACACATACTTATCCATCAACTTTGTTTACTCCCTGGTTTTTGTCAGCAAATATGAGTCTGTTCCATTTTTCTGACTTGCTCTTCTGCTTCTCTGTCAGACCCCTCTGTCGTCATCTGCAGTCCAGGCATCCCTCCGTCTCTTGTCTTGTCTTCATTATTAGTCCCTCTGTTCGCTTCACCCTCCCCGGACTGCTACCACTTGCATACAAGCTTTGCATTCCCCCCTCCCTCCTTAGCGCCAATCTGCTCTACTGCTCTCTGGTTTTTATCCCATCGCTTCTCTTTCAGGTGAGCTCTGTGACCTTGATGCAGCCTCTCTCCAGCTCAAAGTCATCAATTATGTAAGTGACTGAGATCACTCATACACGCCTACATACAGTTAGACGTACCCAGTGACTTGCTCCCTACACCACAAGCTTTTTATCTGACTTGATCAGTCTCCACATTGTGTGCTCCTCAATGTATGTAAAGGATACATCTTCTGTACAAAGAGGAAAGCAGGGGGAGAGGTGCACAGGGTGAAGAAAGATCTATGAATGAGGGAGGGAAGTGAGAGAGATGAGATATGATATAAAGTGAGAGAGTGGAGAGCAATTTGAAGGTTATACTGCATCAAAGGGACAAAGCCTCAGTTTACCAGTGCTTCAGAGATTCCTCATTGCTGTATGCACATACTTCTTATATACACATACTTTTAATACTGCTGAGCATGAAGGGCTTTGAACTTTTTACACTGAGCTTTGGTAAAACAGCAAACATACTGTATGTACTTTCATTCCTGATTCCAGCTCCGCACTCGTGATGATTTGCTGCTTTTTTGTTGTCTTCTGTGACTGTAAACTCGATAGCTTTGAGATTTGGTCAAAACAAGTAGATTGAGCATGATTTAAGAAGTTGTTTGACCATTTTTTACACATTTGATCAAAAAAACAACTCATTGATCAACCTAGAAAGTAATTGTCAGATGAGTCGATATGAAGATAACATTTGCCACTGTAATATACTTGCATCAAGGAAATCACATTTTTGGTGTTTCAAAATGTATTTCACCTTTAGTCAGTTATTATTTCTTTATACAAAACAGGGAGTCTCTGTTTTCATTATTAAAAGACAAGAGAGATTTTTTTAATCAAATAATGTGGATATCCATATTGACAAATATTTGTAGGTATAAGCGTTAACTAGTAACTGTTAATTGTTTTTCAATAAATCCTTACCTAATTAAAGAGATCCTGGTGCATAATTAGCTGCTCATTTTTCACTTTTTTTCCATTATGTTTTCTGTCAGCATCAAACTGTAATGATCAATGTCTTCTTGCAGTTACAACTATAAACATGTACCTTTTGGGTGGAGGGGGAGAGGAAAAAAAATTGTTTGAGAATTAGTTTAAACCAAAGTAGTCTTTTTAAAAAATCTGGCCATTTCTCTTTAAAATGCCTAAGTCTGAGAATGGTGAGCAGTTATCATCACCCACCTGACCTTCCCTTCACCTGTGCTCCCTCGATGCTCTGTGCTTCAGCCTGCATGTAACAATCAGTACTGATGCACGTTAACCTCCGTTTGGGATGTTTTTCAGTATCTGAAGGGAGGGAGAGGCTGAAGTTGTGGTGCAGGGCTTTAAAACCTATTTTGAATTTCTCATGATTTGTTTCATCTGTCTATTGTTACAGTTGTATAAAGGGGTGAGGAGAGGAGGAAACGAGGGAGGGGAGGAGGAGGAGAATGCTCCTCGTGAAGACTTGTCAGTTTGGTGGGAAGTGCTTGGGGCGGCTCTTGTGGGATTAACAGTATTTGGGAAAATGGAGAATAGAGGAGCTTATTTTTTCATGTGGGTGCTGTGTGTATATGTGAATACACGTGCACGCATGCCGAGTACTTGCATGTGTGACCGCGGGAGTGAGTGTGTTGGCAGCAGCTGGTATTTATTCCTGTCCTGCTTGTTCTCCGTCCAGCTTCATGGATTACAGAGAAGATTGTTGTGTGAGGAAACGCTGCTCGTGTAACTGTGTGTGTTTGTGTGCATGTATATATGATCATGTACCTACAGTATTTGTGCCATCATGCATACATGAATGTTTGTTTGTACCCCAGAGTGTATTTCAGCCTATTAATGTTAATGATATGTTTCCCATCAGAGATAGCAGCAGAAAATTGGCTGCGACTCTTCAGGTGTTTCAGAGCAGAAGAGATTTTTATCGCATACACACTCAATTTACACACACACACACACACACAAATGTGACTGTCTTGTCATGTAGGGAGTTTGTTTTCACTTGCAAAGGAAAACATTGTTATTGTAGTAAAATCACAGCATGATTGTGTATTTTATATGATTTTTTAATATTTTGATGACATGATCACTTATTCACAGTGGTGGAAAGTAACTAAGTACATTTACTTAAGTACTGTACTTAGGTGCAATTTTGAGGTATCTGTAATTTTCTTGAGTATTTTCATTTTGAGCTACTTTATACTTTTACTTTTCAGAACCAGATGAATACAAAAATTACAGTATAATCATTGGACCTTACTGATCTCAGGTGGAAAATTCACAAGCTATCCATCAGTATGTAAAGTACTTCAAATGATAAGCTTGTTAATACTAGCTTCTCCTTTACCAGCTGCAATATTCAACATAATACCCACAATAGTGCATCAGTAATTATAATGCAATAATATGATGTAAATGAGTGTTAAGTGTGCCATTCTGCATAATGAGTACTTTTATTTTTAGAACTTTAGGTATGTTTTGGTGCTAAACAACATTTTGAGTGCAGGACTTTTACTTGTAATCGAGTATTTTTACCCTGTGGAATTGTCATTTTTACTTAAGTAAGGCATCTGAGTCCATCTTCCACCACTGCTTATTCAGCAGAGGTTTTTATGACTGTAATGTGAAACATCCCAGATATGCACTTACTTACCAAGGTAGTCCTATTATATGTATGAGTAAGTACGTAAAGGTGAAGCTATAAAAATTCATTGTTCTTTGCACACTGTAATCTAAAATATACTTCACTAAATTATTTCAATGTTACTGTCTTAGTCATGATAAAACTCTAGCTTGGTTTCCCATCTTATTGTGTTAGATATTGAAGGAGGTCTTTCTTTAGATGTTAGGAATATGCATCACGCTTAAATCAGTTTTATTTCACAATTTCATGCAACTGCAAAACAATGAAGATAATATTGGAGCCTGGCCCCATTCTGGCTCCGGTCATTTTCCACTGTCCACTGATTTCTAATCTTATTTGCACACCTAGGCCACACTCCAAAGAATCTCATACTGCATCTTTAAAAACAGTCTGACAGAGTCCCATTTTTGAGATTATAAATCAGAACTGATGTTTTGTTTGTGTTCTTCTTCAGCTGCAGCAGCAGACTCGGTCGCAGTGTTGTTGTCTGCTACTGGTGTCTGAGGACAACCACCAGCTATTTTGTCAGGTACACACACACTCACAATACAGTATTAATTACATTTACCACACAGGAGGAGAAAGAGAAAACCCTAAAAGTGAATTACCATTTTAGCAATGACTCATTCACCAAAGACTAATCTGGACGTTAACATTTGAATAACCTTTGACCTTTAACCTCTGTGACCTTTAGGTGGTTGGTGACAAAGTGCTGGAGGAGGAGATCAGCTTCCCGGTGAGGCCAAAACATAATTATGTATTTGTATAGATACCCATCCATTTATTTATTTATATTTATATCCATATGTTTGTCTGTGTTGATTCTTCCCTGTTAAGTAATTTGTTTTATCATGTCTTCAGTCATTCATGTATTTACTTGTGTTTATTGAAGTGGTCTAGTGTACTAAGGTATATTTAGGGAGATTTGTCACAGTTGTATACCATCATGCATTTAATACAAGTGTTGTAACCCTACTTGAAGGTTTCTCCGACTGACTTGTAATCTTTTATTATCTCTGACAGGGGTTATAATTAAGGAATTTGGGCAGGAGAAGTAATCCCTTCCTCTTCATCAGTTTAATTTTCCTGTCCCTGGGTGTTTTGCAGGCGTAGCATTTTTAAAAGGCGTTCCATTATGGTGTGAATAGACTGTGTACCCCAGGCTAAATGATGTGTGAAATCTTGACAATAGTTGGTGTAGAGAGATATTAGGACACACAAAAAACATGCCCTAGACGGGCTATTTATCCTAATTTAACAAGGGATGTAATAGACTTCACTCAGAATAAACAGCATTTATTAGTGCGCCTGGATTCCAAAGCAATAAAGGAACACTTATAATTTTTATATATTTTATCCTTAAAAATAATCTCCAGGGACTGTCCTGCCTTTTTCCCCCCCTCTCTCTCTTTTGACTCACCAAGTCTCTCTTGCTCCCCATTTCTCTCCTTTGTTCAGCTGATGTTTGGGCGTTTTGGTCAAGTTGTCGAGAAGAAGAAGTCAATTACCCTTCAGGACATCAGTGCTGTAAGGCATCTATCTATCTATCTATCTATCTGTTTATCTATCTGTCTGTCTGTCTGTCTGTCTAATCTGGCTATCTGTTCCCCTTTCTATCAGGAGGAGCGCAGGCAGCTGTCCAGTATGTTGGGCTGTGAGATCTCCTCCATGCTTTGTGTACCAGTGGTCACCAGGGCAACCGGTCAGGTGGTGGCGCTAGCGTGCGCCTTCAACAAGCAGGGTGGGCAGAGGTATGTTGCGTGTTGCTTTTCCCCCTTGAAGCTCATAAGATCATACTAAAATAATTCTTGCAAAAACAGACTCTCTGTGAATTCCTGTTTTTAAACTTGTAGCTCTTCAGACATCACTAACTTAGTGACTGATGGCTTTCTTCTAAAATGCTGGGTTGTCAGTCTGATGATGATGATTTGGCTTTTCCTAAATCCTGAAATGGCGACTCGTGGTAGATGTAAAGATTTGTCTGAGAGCAGCTTACAGTAATGTTGGGATGGGTGACCTGATTGGTTGAGCCTAACAGCACAGATTTGTTGAGTTTATTGCAGTGGAGAGTGTGTTGCTGTTTCCACAGAAATCTGCCACTAACCAGTAGAATGTGCTACATACCATCACTTCAGAGCCTGTGTCAAATCACCCCATGTGTGTTTGTGTGTGTGCGACTGTGCAGATGGCTACGTGATGATCTAGAGTCCGGTCATGAATCTAACAACAGCGGGTAGCTTGGCTCCCTGCTCTGGCACCATGTCTTGGCCTGGTATTTGTGTGTGTGGATGTGTGGGTGTGCGTGTGCATGCTGCTTGGACCTAAGCTGCTATCTCCTGAATGCAGAAGTCTTTAGAAACACCCTCCAGCTGTGTGTGTCTGTGTCTGTCTGTTTAAGAAGTTGTGTGGAAGTATAATAGAAGTTATTTTGTATTATTTGTTGTACTTTTAGCAGGTCATCTGCTGGCGACAGTTTTATTTTTAATGTCTTTCTGTAGCTGTCTATTACTCCCTCTCCTAGTCAAGAAGCATATGTCTCTACTTATGCTGAAGTGCTAGAAGATTATTGTGCTTTATCTTTATATCCCAAACACACTTTGCACACACACTTCACAAGCATACATCACACTTGCATGCTCTCATATACAATCCCTCTCTTTTGCATGCTCTCACTCGCTCCTCTCTAAAGACTAAGATAGATGAGATGGGATCATGTGCTATAATTTCTTCCTCCGCCAGTGGCGCCAATGACAGCACTGGCATCTCATTGCCATAGTAACAGCAGTAGGATTATGGTCGTAACTGTGCAGAAAATGTGATAAATCTATTCTTTGAGCATAGTCATCCATATCTTAGTAGACATATATGTCAGAGATAAATATGGTCTGCATATTCATATGCAGAGTTTGCTGGAACTGTTCTCTCCCTGGCCTACTAAAAGTGCAATGTAGCCTCTTACCCTTGAACACAGGAGCATCAAAATCATTGTGACATCATTTACAGGGCCATAACTCTGCTTTGGTGGCCGAACCACTACACACACACACACACACACCATCAAAAGCATAACTAAGTTGTATTTTTCACACAGAGCAGGCTGAGGATGCACAGTGGGGCATGGTTAGGAGAAGAAGACAGATATTGGAGATGGTGTGCTCAGCACATAAAAGATGATTTCATGACAAACCTGCAGCCTAAGCAATAGTATAAGAGGTTTTGGATATATACGGCCAATACCAAGATTAATTTTTATGTTGACAAATAGCAGTGCTGGGGGGGGGGAGGACTGCAATTGTCTGTTGTTGACAGGGTCTAATACTTTGTCTACCTACTTTTTTTTCATAAATACGACTTTCTTTGTGGAAAGTGCTAGTTTCTTATTATGCTTCTGGCCTTTGAACATGCACTCCTCCTGGTTTTCATTCCACGGAAATGGAGGCTATTTTCTGTCATGACTGCAAATAACTAGCTGGTACCACAGAAAATGATTCTCCAGCCTGAGTTAGAAGACTGAGGACTATTGCTCCAAGTAACTTCCCTGAATTTCAGTCACTTGGATTCAAAGGTCTTGTGGGAGAGGGTACCAAACTGAGCTCCCCATGCTTTTCCCAGCTCACTAAAAATCCTGCCTCCTTTGCTAGGATTCCTGGGAGTCTCGGCTCAGGGCAAGAGCCCTGGAGCAGTAAACTGCTCCTGTCAACACAATGATACGCCACTGCCCTCTGTAGGCAAAGAGCGATAACTACAGGCAGTTCTCACTTGCCTGTTTATTACTGGCAAGTTCATACATCGTTCACTTTTACAACATTACAATATGCAAGACATAAAGCTTGGCTCAGTTTTCAGTCATTTAGGCATGCAGCATTATAGTAACATTGCCTAAATTCATTCTTACATAACTGTGATTTAGTTTTCATTTTTAGTTCATAGTTGTGCATCTTGTCTTTCTAAGGATTGTTTCATGAATATTACTGCTTCTTGACGTGTACTTTGACCAGCTGATCTACTGTTGGGTAGCGTAATCTTTAACAGTGCATAATTACTAAAATGATCATACTAGATGTTTTATTTATAAAATTTCAAACTGAAAAGTAACTAAAAACATAGATGTTATATACTGGAGTAAAAAGTAAAATATTTGCCTCTGACGTGATAATAAAATGGAAATACTTCAGTAAAGTATCTTCAGATTGAACATAAGCATATGTATTTAGTTACATTCCACCACTCATAAAATTATTTTTTAAAATAGTGAAGAAGGTCCATTACAGTCTTTTTTGCCTTGTTGTTTTCAGATTACAATTACATAAAGCAGAAAATGCTGTAAATCCTCATAAGTAAGAAGCTAGAACCAGGGAGCAGTTGGATTTTTCAGTGAAAAATGGTTAATTTACACTTTCAGTTCTAATTTTTTAACTGTTTAAAAAATGTATTAACAGCAACACATACCATGTTATGCAAAATATGTATAACATGACAATCTGCTGTTTGGTTAAAAGGGGTTCCAAAGTTTCACAGCAGCCTATTAGCCCCGATTTAACATATGACCGTGTGTGTGTGTGTGTGTGTGTGTGTGTGTGTGTGTGTGTGTGTGTGTGTGTGTGTGTGTGTATTCACTGCAGACACACAGAGGCAGATGAGCATGCCATCCAGCACTGCTTCTGTTACACTTCAACAGTCCTCACTTCAACTTTGGCCTTCCAGAAAGAACAGAAACTCAAAGTGGAATGCCAGGTACCGCATTTGCCCACACACTCGCACTCTCACATGCACACTCTCACACATTTATACATAGCTATATATGAAGCAGCCTTTTAAAGTGCTTTTTTGGGCCTGCTGTTTCCCCACACAGGCACTCTTACAAGTGGCCAAGAATCTCTTCACACACTTGGGTAAGTTTCTCCTCCTGTCTGTCTCTCAGTCACTTTCTGTTCATCTCTGTGAAGAAGGAACATTGCAGGACAATTTGTGTTAATGGCTGATATTTAAGTGACCAGCTAGTGAAACAAATGGCGCTCGTAATTGAGTGAGATATTACAGATCCTAAAGGTGATCATGACCATAAAATCAAAGAGGCATTAAAAATGATGGCTCCACCTCTCGAGCCAATAATTACATGAAGGCATTTAGATTCTTATCTAAGTGTAAGCACCAGAAGTAGAATAAGTCATTGATGATTCATCATGATTGCAGCTACAAAACATTGATCTTCTAGTAGAGCAAACCGCCTCTCACTGTACCGAACCATTGATTACAAAAAGCTCTTATCAGCATGTACAGCTGATCCCCACTCATGGTGTGATCTGTTTCCATCTACATGGCTCTGTTGTGCTCTTTTAATTTCCTCTGTTTTCCTTTATATCCTCTCTCGCCCTTTTCGTTTCTCTCATTCACTTCCCCTGTTTCTCTTTTTTTCCCCAGATGATGTGTCAGTGCTGTTACAGGAAATTATAGTGGAGGCCAGAAACCTCAGCGATGCAGAGATGTAAGCCTTCTGATTCATCTTCAAAGGGATATTCAGTGCTTGTGTGGAAGACGGTGTGTGTGGCTTTAGCGCCATTTGCAAAGGCTGTCTTAGCAATTTGTTCTTAACCTACTTGCCTCATTTAATAGAAGCTACAAAAAGATCTCAGATAAATGGGATAAAAAGCTTTGATTTTCTCTGCTCTGCTCTGTGTTCCCCTCTCACACTGTCCTCCAGCTGTTCTGTGTTCCTGCTGGACCGCGTCAGTCATGAGCTGGTGGCGAAAGTGTTTGATGGCGGTGTCGTTAGTGATGAGGAGGTGCAACACACATACTCAAGCACACACACTCATGTAGACATCACCACTTTGATTCCAGGTGGAGGCCTTTCCTAAGTGTTTTTTGTGGGGGGTTATGCCTTTATTAGAGAGTCCCCAGTAGAGAACAGAGAACACTATACTTCAAAGGTCCCCATCTAGACTGGAATGTAGGATGTTACAATTACAGTGTCAGAATCCAAACCCCCTGGGCCGCCATCACAGGTTGGGGAACATTGTTGTCTATCACCCTCCTTACTCTCACCACACACTTCCTCTCTGTCTCTATTGTCAGTAATACTAATTGAAGTATCTTGATGACTTAAGCTGTGTGTGTGTGTGTGTGTGTGTGTGAGTGCAGAAGGAGTTTCGTATCCCAGCAGATCAAGGCATCGCAGGCCACGTGGCAACCACTGGTCAGATCTTGAATATTAAGGATGCCTACTCCCATCCACTGTTTTACCGAGGCGTGGACGACAGTACAGGCTTCAAGACCCGCAACATCCTCTGCTTCCCCATCAAAGATGAGAACAACGGTAGCAACAACAACTTCTACACACACACACACAAAACAGTTTTCACTTGTTTACAGGTGGCTGATAATAAGACACATCAACCAAATAAACACAATAACACAGTTTGGAAACTAATACACACAAAAATAGAAATGGTAAGTAAAAAAATAAATACATAAATACCAATAATAATATGGCCATGAAACATTACACCTACATTTTCTAGTAGGATGTGATCAAAACGTGTTACACCACTATTTAATTATCGGCTTTTAGTTAAAGAGTATTTAAATAGATCACACATTGAGCTGCTCCTGGTCTGTTTCAGCAGCTCAGGACACAAACACTAACAGCTCATTAAATGTTTTTCTGCTCAGCGTTAACCCAGTGTGGCAACATCTGTTATATATAAAGAGAGGTGCCCAGTCACCTGTGTACACTCCAAAAATGCACTAGGAATGCAAAAGTAAGGCTACTGATCTTGTACTAATGGCCAGTATTTTTTTCTTAAATTATCAGCATCTAACAAAAAAAGTAAAAACTTTTTTATATTTTATTGGTCGATGCTTTATTGCTGTCACCCTTACAGAACATGCCGTACCTTCTCTTCCTATTTCCTTTTAAAACCAAGCTCCGTTTCCACACAGGTGCTGTCTCAGAATAGCACACTGAACTGTTATATCACATCCTTCTGCCTGCTGTAACTGAACTGGAGTGGTTGCTTTGCCAAAGGGCATAAAGTGCACTTTGGCAAAGCAACCGCTTTCAGCTCCATACTTAGAAATGACAGAAACCTCAGGCTTTGTGGTATTTCCTGCGTTTTGCTGTATACAAGCAAGGAAACCTTTGATTTTGTGTGATTTGTCTCCATATAGAAAACTGTATGAAGTTCAGATTAGGGGTGAAATGCAAATATTTCTATGTGCAATTAGGTTTAGCTCCAGTGTGAAATTAATTTATGTTGGCAGACCAGTTAGATTCAATGTCTGTTCTGCACTTCTGACTCTGTGCCTCAGTTTCTCATCTTTGACTCACACTCTTCCACTTTCCTTCTGTCTTCACATCAGCTGTCTCTCTTTCCATCCTTCTCTCCTCTACTTCTTTTCTGCCTCAACTTGTCACCCTCCACAATCTCTCACCTTCCATTTCTCTCTTGTTTCCTGGCTCCACCTGTAGTCATGTCATGTTACTGTACCCTTTCTTTCTTCTAGAAGTGATTGGGGTGGCTGAGTTGGTGAACAAAATGAACGGGCCATGGTTCAACCGCTTCGATGAGGACCTCGCCACAGCTTTCTCCATTTACTGCGGCATCAGTATCGCCCATGTAAGTTTCTTCCCCCACTGAAATAAACTTCTAGGAACAGACTATAAATTTAGAATTTCCTGGCTTGGTGCATTAGCCACAGTATATGTATTAACTGCTATGACCACACCAGTCAAAATGTTCCACTCATTCACTGATTGGTTGATGTATGGTTTAATATAAACAAATAAGCATCTTAAGAATAAAGTAAATAAACTCAAATAACAATGACAATTTCACAGCTGCACAACTGCTAGATTAGCATTATCAGCTGTAAATTAATGAAGAGCTTAAACTTCTCACCTTACAGCAGAAGATGCCGTTTATCGCTGTCTCTTATGACCTCTGTTAGCAGCAATGAAAATATATGAAGTATGAGCTTGATTTTAAACATTTGTTAAAAATGGTTGCAGTGTATAGCAGTGTAATCTCTGGACATTCAATTCAATTCACTTTTATTTATATAGCACCAATTCACAACAGCATTCTTCTTAGGGCGCTTTGCACAGTAAGGTCTAGACCTTACAGTACAAATCCCCTTTAAGCAAGCACTTGGCTACAGCGGGGAGCAAAAACTCCCTTTAATGGAAGAAACCCCTGACAGACCCCAGCGCTTGGCGGGCGTCCTTCTGCCTCCACCGGTTTGGTGTGAGTGGATAGAGGAGAGGGAAAAGAAAAGAGCAACAAGACACAGCAACAATCAAACACTGGGTGGGTTGATGAGGCCGGTGACTGCTCAGAAACATACAGCTCCAGAGGGACACCTGCAGAAAGGTACAAGGAGAGAGAGAGGAGGGAGAGGGGAGGGGAAGTGAGGAGAGGAGCTCAGAGCATCATGGGAGGACCCCAGCCTAGGCCTTTAACTAATGGATGGAACATCAATCCACACCTATCCTAGAACGCACTTCCAGTAATTTCATAGACAGCACTACATGGGCGTAAACGAATGCCACCCTGTTGACTATAACCACTGGTGCAGTTAAATGTACTCAGTGGCAACAGAACAGCCTGTTACTAAGATGACTGTCAGTCTTATCTCTATTCAGCCACACTTGCCAATATAGTGCCATGAAATATCGGAAGTAAGCACAACATGCTGAGTCCCTATCTAGCCTCCCTCACTGTCCTACTAGTGTTAAATTGAAAACATTATTAACTAATAATAGAACAACAGTATTATATCAAACTAGCTATAAGCTTTATCAAAAAGGAAAGTTTTAGGCCTAATCTTAAAGGTAGAAGGGGTGTCTGCCTTCTGAACTGAGACTGGGAGATGGTTCCACAGGAGAGGAGCTTGATAGTTAAAGGCTCTGCCTCCCATTCTACTTCTGTAAACTCTCAGAACCATGCACTGTTGTAATCATTAATTGAGTCTAACCACAAAGAGAGGGATAAAAGAAAGGATTTACTGTAGATCCATCATCAGGAGTCTCTTCTTCCTTAAAACCGGGTGGTAAATCCCTTGTTAGTGCTGTTAGAAGGATCGATCCTGTGTGGGAAAATGGGATCAGTCAAGGCAGAGTAGAGCTCGAGCCTGAGGGAAATTTAAAGAGAGTCAGTCTGATGGGACTGAGTGGCTTTTGTGGTATTTTTGTCTTAGGCATTGTATGACTGCTGCAAACCCATTAAACCCACACATACAACTGAACTACTGTATGCAGCTCACAGTCACAAGGATGAAGACGATGATGCTTGACACAATAATGGTGATCAGAAAAAAGTGAGAGTGGGGGCTGCACCATGTCATATCACCGTCATCCACAGAGCGGTTGAAAGATTTTGACACCGATTTCAAATTGTTTGCAAATCTATCCAGTCTTTCAACTCTGCAGATCAAAATATTTTCTTCATGTGCTGTAAACAAGTTATTATATTTGTTATTATTGCAGCCCCCGCTCAGCTTTTACCAGAACATAGTAAAAATATTTATTAAAGCATCTCTATTCTGTGTAACTGGCTCGATTTATCTTGCTTCTAACAATGCCCTTGAGCAGGAGAGACTCATGCACCTGAGACAGAAGGTCACAAACTACAGCTGGCATGATATTTTATCCAGCATATCCGATTCACCTTCTTATTAAGTTGCTCTTGTAGTGTCTGACCTTTGAATGACCGCAGGTACTCGATAGTTTATCTAGTAACTATAAGGATATTTGATTGGAAAAATAATTACCTGCTAGATAGCTCATTAATCATTTAAACATGACCAAATGCATTATTTATCAATGCTCACTCCATACGGTAGTGTACAGGACGCTGAAGGCTGTAAAAGAGCATTTCCCCATGGAGTGAAGTGTAAGCAGCACTTTAAGTTTTATTGTTTTACCCCATCACTGGACACAGAGCTGTGAGAATGTGTAAGTGATTAAAATGTGCTCAGTAATCATGGACCTCAGGTTTTCCATTTGAATATGAACAAACAGACAGATACACCGATCAGCCAGAACATTATGACCACTGACCGGTGAAATTAATAAGATTGTTTATCTCGTTACAATGGCACCTGTCAGCGTGTGGGGTGTATTAGGCACCCAGTTCATATAAAACGGGCAAGTTTAGGGATCTGAGTGACTTTGACAAGGGCCGAACTGTGATGGCTGACAACTGGGTCAGATCGTCTCCCACACTGCAGGTCTTGTTGGGTGTTCCCAGTCTGCAGTGGTCAGTACCTACCAACAGTGTCTAAGGGAGGACAAAAAGTGAACTGGCATAATGAAACATGGTGAAACATTCAGCAGCTATAGTGGTGATATCAAGCTTAGAGGCTGGGAAGGCTGTTGATCAGGACCAGAGTTTTTATTCCTTTTACATAGGTTTTTCACTGAATGGTCGACACATTCGTGCTCTTCCTGACAGTAGAACTGGAAGCAACATATATTAATATCAAAGACTGGAAAAGGTTCAGCTGGATAATCTGTTAGAAGCAAAATCTGTAACTAATGCTGAGGCTGAAGATACCTTAATTTAAAAGGAAGCTGTTTGGGTGCCAAACAAAACTTCACTCTGCACAATCTTTGCAAGTATTGCAATAAATAAATAGATGAAACAAGAAGACAGAGTTGATATAATACAGTGCTTCTGTCTTTCTAGTCTTTGCTCTACAAGAGAGTCCATGAAGCTCAGTTCAGGTCCCACCTGGCCAATGAAATGATGATGTACCACATGAAGGTAAAATCACACTGGCACGTCCCACTCGCTCTCACACACAGACACATTGTATTTTCAAACATCGTCAAAATTATTTACTCAATATGATTCAGTATGTGTGGGTCACAGGTTTCAGAGGAAGAGGTGACTAAGCTGCTGGTGACAGGGCTCGAGCCAGTGAAGGAGATCCACCCCTGCTTCGCCGAGTTCACGTACACACCTCGCTCCCTGCCTGATGACACCACACCCACAGTAAGGGGGGAGGGGAGGATTCGGAGAGAGACTGAGAAAAGACACAGAGAGCAAGAGATAAGACAGAAAACCTGAGAATGGGAACTGATGGAACGGATGCTGTTTTGTGTGTTTTCAGTGTGTCCTCAGCATGTTTGAAGATATGGGTTTCATCAACACATACAAGATTGACATGCACACTCTCGCAAGGTCTGAAAACTCCATCGATTCATATACTGAACATAAGTGCATGGTGTGGTTTTGTCACTCTGCATACCTATGATTTAACAATAATTAGAGCTCTTTTTAACAATTCTTTTCCATCATCTGATCATATTCTTGTCAATTAGGTGGGCTCTAAGTGCTTTTTGACTTTATAAATTACTGTAATTTTACTATTTCCTTTCATTTTCATTGATCCTGTCACTAACTATAAGACCCAAACACAAACATCTTGGAAAGAGATATGTAAACAGCTTTCTAGGAATTAAATGGGCAGGCTTTAATCAGAACTGACCAGTAGTGCAGAAGGAGAACAAACATGCTCCAAAGGCCAAAATGAAATGTGCCATTAATTGCATGTTGTGTTGTAGTGATAACAGAACTGCTGCTTTGGTGTTAGGTTCTGTCTGATGGTGAAGAAAGGTTACAGGGACCCTCCCTACCACAACTGGATGCACGCCTTTTCTGTCTCACACTTCTGCTACCTGCTCTATAAAAACCTAGGGCTGTCCAACTACCTCGAGTGAGTATACTGCTCTTGAACACATCTAAGTTAGCATTGATTATGTCCTGAAAATGATTTTACATTTGCGCACTGTCTTCTCCTTTTAGGGATATAGAGATTTTAGCACTCTTTGTCTCCTGTATGTGCCATGACCTGGACCACCGTGGCACTAACAATTCTTTTCAAGTCGCCTCGGTGAGAGCATAGATTATGTTTCTGCTTTATTAGAGGGCATATGATGAAGCATCAGGAACAATAACTGTGAAAAAAGGATGATAATGGCATCAGAACTTTAACCCTCCTGAACATGTATTTGTGCAGTAGAGCAGCGCTTCACCTGCACTTTATAAAAGCAGGGGAAAAATTGACCTTTACACTCTCAGGATGGAGCATGCTAATAAGAGCCAGCCAGAGAGTGTGTTTGTGTCTCCATGAATTTGCCCCCTAGATGCCATTGTGATTAGGAGCATATTACTCTGTTTTTCTCTAATCATGCATAACCCTGCAGTGCCCAGATGACACACGCACACACATTTATCAACTGTCATTAAGCAGCAAAAGGTCACTCATCATTTTATCAGCTAATTTTATGTGCTTCGGACTGAGGATTTAAATTCAAGCTGACATATACAGTTAAAGAGAGGACACTGTAGCATTTTAGTGAAGGATCTCACTTGAGTCAATACAGTGTGTACACAAAAAGGATTGTGTTTTCATTTGTCTGTGTGCTTCTGTTTTCAGCAATCTGTGCTGGCTGCTCTCTACAGCTCAGAGGGATCTGTGATGGAGGTAAACAACCAGTTATCACTGCATCATAGAGATATGGGACATCTGTTAAAGCTTTGACCTGTGTGTTCCAACTCAATGTGGTATTTGTTTAGAAAAATCTGCATACATTGATCAATTTAATATTTTAGACTGAAAAATGCAGTCGTCTTGCTGATTATAGTGATTTAATAAACTTCACTCTGTGAGAGCTACTGTTGTTGCATTCTATTACGACACCTAGTGGCCAAAGTCACACTTGAACTCTAAGTGGTGAGGCAGTGGGAGGCATTGCAACATGACTCAACATTCCTTTTTAGAAGTGCCCTTTTCTAATTGTACATGTTCCCATCATACTTTATTTGCCACGTTAGAGACATCACTTTGCCCAGGCCATCGCTATTCTGAACACTCATGGCTGCAACATCTTTGAGAAGTTCAACAGGAAGGTGGGATGTAAAAGCTGACTTTCACACATTACACATTTCTCTCCCGCTTTCATTTTAATTCCACTTTCTGCTATCACTGTATATACAACTTCCAGTTAGATTTGATGTTTTGTAGGACTACCAACGCATGCTGGATTTGATGAGAGACATCATTCTGGCCACAGACCTGGCTCACCACCTTCGCATTTTCAAGGACTTGCAGAAGATGGCTGACGGTATGCCCCATTAGTTCAGTATGCGCAGGCACAGCTACGTCTCTAATTGTGCTTTTCACTCACAGCCCTGCCCATCAAAGGGAGGCCCAGTCCACAACGGTAACACCAAAGCAGTGTTTATATTTTCCTTAGATTACGATGGCCTGATTATACAAGAGATTACAAAGAAACACAAATTATATTTTCAGCATACTTAGTATGAGGAATTTTCCAGTTTGATAATTTTGTAACAAATCACACAGAAGCCCAAATGGTTAATGTCCATTCTTTACCTAAATAATCACTGGTAAACATAAAGACTGAAATGATGATCCCCCTTTTTTTTTTTTTTTTTTTTTTTTGCAGTATGACTCGCTTGTTAGCACCACACAGAAGGCACATTTTGGTTCTATATTTCATTATATGACATGTTTGGCAGAGATCTGAGGTCAAACCTCATTCATTCATCACTAACATTTTTAATAACCCTCTGTTTTTATTGGATGATTAACCCTTTTGAGGAGACAGTTGCTTAGTGCACTCTTATGTAATATGTAATTGGCTGTAACCTATAGGCCAGTGGTTTGTTACGCCTGAATGCAGCCAATTATAAGTTATCCTGAGTTGATGTCTCCTCAGTGGAATCTGTTTTGAGCTGTTAAAACAATTCAAATACATTAAAAGCCTCTAAATGAGTTAGCAACTCACACCACTGGGTGTCAATCATGGACTAAATAGTGGAAAATACTAAATGCAAATACAGAGTCAATAGTCAGTTGAAACAATTTTCTTAATCAAAGTATACAAACTGCCCTTACCTAACATTCAGTTGTAGCTTTTGATCATCAGTATCTATCAACAAACATTAGCTTGGAACACATAGTAGTTGATAGCAGGACACAAAAATACAGTGGGTTCTGCTTTCCTGAAATGTGGCACAGAGGTACATTCAAGTCTAAACTCCCAGCAAAAGTGCATATGTCCAACAATTTTTAGCAATTTTGGTGACCACCGGCGCATACTGGGTGCAACCAGGTGCATCATGGAAGACAGGTTAAATACGATGTCAGTGGGAGGAAGGTGGAGGATGGGGCTGGCTTTAATAATGCTAATCAAACCATCTCCATCTCATCCCTACATACTGAGGACTAGTTTTTGTTTTTTCTTTTAAATTAATATTTCTAAAGTATCACATATATTTTATAATTCAGATCATTTCACGGCGAATTATTCAAAGTGAATTCCAACAGATCATTTGTGGATTCATTACGGGTTCATTAAAGCCAGTAAAATATATTTGACCACCTATTTTCATGCTCCCTGCCAGGGGTGCCACTAGCAGTTTTGGGCCCTATGAAAAAATTTGAAGTTGGGCCCTCTACCTCACCCATCTGTGGGCCCCCAAAGTTCGTGGGCCCTTAGAATCGTCCTAACTTCCCCCCACTAACGGCGCCCGTGCTCCCTGCCTTGGCTGTTAAGAAAATTGCAATGTACTTGCAATTATGATAAAGGTGGTCTGAACAGGTTTTAACACAAACGCAATTTTGGGTTGAAATGAGCACTAAAATTGCACTGCACAGCCTAATCAGCATAAACACAGCCTCAGCATCACCTGAAGACTGTGTGAAGCTTCATTGGTTTTGCACTGGCAGGAGAATAGAACCCAGTAAGTCTTTTTAGTGTATTTAGATAGAGTACTTTAAGTAATTTGTTTGTGTGTGTTTCAGATGGATACAACGCAAAAAGCCGCACCCACCGTTCCTTGTTGTTGTGCCTATTGATGACATCGTGTGACCTGTCAGACCAAACCAAGGGCTGGAAAACCACACGCAAGATTGCTGTCAGTTGAAGTCCATACCTTTGTCTGTACTGCATAATTAAAGTGTAACCACAAATTAGTTATTTAATTTAATAAAATGTGTTTAATTATTAAATTCTAAAACATTGTTCCAGAAAAAAAAACCACCTTAATATTTTGGCCAATATGTTAGTTTATACTTTACCACATTAGGGAATATCATGTTTGAGTTAATAATAAGTGTAACTTACATTATAGCACACGAATCAGCACACAGATAATTGGATGTCCTCATGTGGGGTTGGTGCTAAACTATTTGACAGATATTTTGTAGTATATTCAGTCATACAAATGTGTCTCATTGTTAGTACAGCTGCCTTTGTAATTTGAACAATTATTGATATTGATGCTTAGTAATTACTGAAGTACACGTTGTATAGTTTAGTAGTGGGAAGAAAGCTGGTAATTATAGTGGTCTATAAATGGCTATAGATGATGTGGTTACAGTTCAGACACTGTCTTGGCTATTAGAAAAAGGTTTCAGCGCCTACAGCAGTTCACATTTTCATCATTACATTGATGAAAAGATTTCCAATTCCCAACACAGTAAAACTCACCAATTTCTAGGACAAAGATTATGAGATGCAGAGCTGTACAGTAGAAAACGATCTTCCAGTCTATATTGCATGATATTCTACTTTTTATTCTATTTTGTGAAACTACAGTCCATTTTAGGATTATGTTTAATCTTGGTCTGCCCCCTTTTCAACACCAGACCCACGACCCTTGTCCTAAATCCAACACCCTAAATCCCCAAACACCTACAGTATAGATGCACTGTAATCCCTTTTCCCAAACGTGAAAACACATTTCTCTTTAATTCAGGAAAGGAAATGAACAGTGTGTGGCTCGCACTGATCTCAGTCAGTGAATTATATCCTCACTTACCAAAATATACATGGAGGATTAATGAAAAAAATAACACTAAAGATTAGATTGTAATAAAGGGAAATTACATTTTATCTGAGATTACAGCATCATGATTCAGTATTTACAGTTATATTTGCAAATATGAGAAATTCTCTCCCAAAACTAAAATCTAGAGTGTGATAAAACAGGTTTATGTCAAATATGGTTTTATTGTATTGAATGGTATTATATAGTATCTTTTAATGTTTTAGTTTAAAATTGGTTTATACTTAATAGATGCATAAAATGCCTAAAGATAAATAAAAATCAAACTTCTAAATAGACAGTTGATTTGTCTCAATTTATCATAATTGTGTTTGTGACTAAGGTGAATAAGGAACATCCCAGTTTAATATTTGCTGCTTTACTGTGTGGCATTAAATAAATGTAAGCTGTGATTCAGTGGAATATGAACCCATATAAGCATTAACAGGTGTCTGCCTCTCTGTGTCCACAGGAACTGATTTATAAAGAGTTCTTCTCTCAAGGAGATCTGGTATGTGTCAGTGTACGCTGGTTATTAATGACATGAACCTGTTTAGCAAGTGGCTGAAGTGTGTGCTATTTTAACCAATAGTGAGCTCATTAGTCGTGTGTGTGTGTGTGTGTGAAGGAAAAAGCCATGGGGAACAGGCCCAGTGAGATGATGGACCGAGAGAAAGCGTACATCCCAGAACTACAGATATGCTTCATGGAACACATTGCCATGCCCATCTACAAGTGCGTATGAAAAGCTAAAACATCACATCCTTCCTACACTGATCCCTTTAAACACTTTGTCTTAGGAACATGGTCCCCACACTGAAGTAGTGAATATAATTTTGACTATTTTTGCAGAAATCTCAAAAACAAAAATGTAGGACTTTAAATAGAATTTAGATTGTACATCTAAATCTAAATCTAAATAGAATTTAGATGTACAATATGTTTTTATTTTAGCTAAATAAAATGGCTTAATCAATATTATTTAATTTCTCAGCTCTACTGAGTGCTTTAGTGCCTTTCAACTCATTTTTTTGGTCAAAGACATTGACTTTTAGATCAATAGGCAGGTTGACGGCTCCCAGAAGTGAAGCCACTGTAACACGATCGTCCCCTGGTGGCTGGTTGTAGTATAGGTCATAAATTCTGCCCCCTCCATGTTAGTGGGCCTGAGCCAAAGTAAAAACTAAAAACCACAAATCAAATACATTTTTCCCAAAGGTCACTTTTGTGGTTTTGGTAGGTTTTATCAGGCTGACTTGTGTACAAGTGGTTGTTTTACTGGTAAGCTTGATTTTAATAAGTTATTTGAAGATATAAAAAGAGGTGTATTTCAGTTGATTTGACAGTCTTGATTGGTGGCCCGATGCTCTCACTCCACTTGTGGTTGCTACTGTGCAGAATCTGTTTGCAAAAAGGAAGATGGCAGCTGACAGTCATGATATTATGGCTTCATTTTTGCATACTGGTGGGAAGTGGTGACACCATGTCCATTGTATATACAGTATGTCAGTGGTTGAAGCCCACAAATTCACTGTTTTAGTTTACTCTTGTTGTTTGTTGTTTTTTTAGCAAAAAAAAAAGCTCTAAGAGTTAATTGTACACTACCTGCTCAGCACCAAAAAACAGACTGACAAAGTCAGCAACATACTGATGAGCAAATTGATGCTTTTAGCAGCTAAAAAGCCCGATATTTCCCTCAGGAACTGATGGAGAGGGAAAGAAGAGTGAATACTGAACTTACATTTGTTAAGGGAGCAGAAACAGCTCACAAATCAATGGCAATACTGTGTAATGCTGATAGATGTAAATAAACAACTGTCCGTCATATTGATTTTATAATTTTATGTCAGTGTTGTGTGCAGCTTGCACAGCAGCACTCAAGTGTCCAAAGACTTGTATACTGTAGATAAAAGTGTCTTGCCTTACAAAAGCAAAGGATTATAACACAGGCCACCACCGTCCTCTGTCCTTTCAGGCTGCTGTCTGAACTGTTTCCTGGGGCCACTGAGCTGTATGAGAGAGTGGCAGCAAATCGGGAGCAGTGGACCAAAGTGTCCCACAAGTTCACCATTCGTGGGTTGCCTAGCAACAACAGCCTAGACTTCCTGGACCAGGAATATGAGCTACTGCAATCCCAGGGTGCTTTTGGGAGCGATGACCACTGCCTCAATGGTTGCCTTGACGATGCAGATGGAGGGAGGGGTCAGTGAAAACACAGGCTGCTGGCGGTTTCCTGAAGTTTTCTGTGGTCCAATAAGAGGCTGAGGATACCTTTTTAGTGACCTAAGAGGGAGGGGTCTCTCTGCTGTCAATCACCTAGCTGCTTAGCAGGCCATGCAGAATGGACAGGGCAAAGTTTCAAAGTAACTGAATCAAACAAGTGATTTGAAACCAGTGGATCCATCTGAGCCGATTCAGTGATTAGATGCTACATTTTGCTTGTGTCTCCAGTTCAGGAAAGCAGAGGGTGGTGACTTTTTCAGCAGTTATACTGGAAAAAACCACAAGCTAACCACAAGCTCATTCATGCAGTACCAATCCTGATTAAGATTGTAAAAACACACACACTGACACACGTGTACATGCGCATATTGTTTAGACATACAAGACAGAGAAAAAAACCTTCTCATTCTTATGGAAAAAAGAACTTCAACATGTACCAGTGTGATAAAATGCTATACTTTCTGTAAAATGTTTCATAATAGCTTATATTGATTTCAGTGACTCAGCTTTGTTCACACACAAGCAGCTGCCATAGCCTCTCACCCGATGCTTAAGAACGCATGTTGTATGAGCGCCTCATGTATTATTCCTTTTATCTGGGTCAGTGCCAATTTCTCCGTGGCTAAGAAATTAACGCAGCCCATTTTTATACCATCAGAACAGATTTTTGCATACAGCTGTTCAAAGTATATTCAGTTCATTCATGAGCATCAAGTTGTACAAGGGGAGTTGCTGTTCATCTGCACAAACAGTTTAACCGTCATGTACAGTTCCTCATTTTATGTTTGTTTAAAGGGACAATCTGACAATCACGACAGAGTCACAGAATCCTCAACAATGACTCCTCACTCTGTGCATTAAAGTTTAAAAACACACCCCTGCATGCAGTTGTAAGTGTGCAACTCAAAGGCCACTCATGACCTAAAACCCTCACCATTGATTCCAATCCCACCTTTTTCACTTACTTTAATTTTTTTTTTACTTTACTGATTTTCTCAAAAGAAAAAGAAAACACTTCAGACAGAGAGCAACTGAAGCCCTTTAAAAGATCCCATCTCATCTGTTAGTGTAAATGTGCCAGAGTAGAGCGTGTTATATGGATTGTCACTGAGTGCGTCATATGGATCTGCCTTATTGCGCATCTTCGCTGCCTTTCGTAGAGCTTTTAATATATGAAGATTGAAATAAAGTGTCTGTTTAGTCTGTATGTTGTATATTTGTTATAGACATTGTTTGAGTATCATTGTGTTGATTGAAAGATGACCTGTCTCAGAAGATGTATATTTGTGAAATAACTCTGATGACCTCAGATGTCATGATATTTCACTTCCTACTTTAAGTTGTGTATACAACCAACAGTGGATATTAGGCAGATGCAGTAGTGATTTTTCAGGTCTCAGTGTACCCAGAATTGCTTTAAAAAATAACTAGAAATGTAGCCATCATATCAGTTACTCTTTCCAGAAAGCATCAACAAGTCACAACTCCTATACTCTAAAGGAAAATTAGAGTTAAGTTTTCAGATTGTGACTCATGGGAAACTTGAGATGTAGGAGCAGAGGAGGTTTGTGTTACAATATGCCATATTCAGTTTTCACTTACAGTGCTTTAAATTGAAAAATGCTGCAGAGGGCAAGATATAAAGAGAATAGTGTCATGGAGAGAAACGTCAGAGACGGACAACACTGAAGGCTGTGCATGGAGGGTGAGTGTGGGTGGATGGACAAGTGGGTGTATGAGAGAGAAAGAAAGAATGAGGAAGGACTGGAGATAGTTCAGCATCATGAGAGAAATGTTTGGTGTCACCCATCTTTACAAAGCTGGTGTTGACAGATCTTATCTGCTAGGATTTCTTATATTATCTCCCCTTTTATGCAGCTCTGATAGTGTTAATGAAAGTAGATAAAAGCAAAAGTACCGCAATCATAGGATTTAAATTTATAATTTCTTAAAGGGGTCTCATGAGGGTGCATTAGGAAGGAAGATTAATTGGTTCGCAAAGTGGTTTGATGTATGTGTCACACCGACACTGGGATATGCATTAGCACAACTGGATGACATTGTCTGATCTGCCCTGGTCTGCATTGTGGGCTGAATATTTTTACTATAAAGTTTGTAAAGGGCATACAAGTGTGTTTGTAGAAGAGCTGCTCTTTCAAGCTCTTCTCTCACATGTGGTTTTCCCTTACCCGTTATTTTCAAACCACTGTTTCATACGTACCTGCCTTGTTCATGTGCAATATGAAGTGTCTGCCTCTGTGATGTTGCATAGACTTCTATGTACCGTAGATACTAAATTATTACTGTAGGTCTGAGTTTTAAAATGCATTTAAGTGTTCGCTCATGATGTTTCCATTGGAGAAAAAAAACAGTCAGTGGTTTGTGACCATTTTAATCCTGAAATGCTTTTGAGAGTCAGGACGTGGGACAGTTTTCTATTCTGTGTGTGTATCTGTCCTTTTATGTTTGTTTTAGAAAGTCAGGGCTATACTGTATGTGCCAAGCAAACATGTTCTACTTGCTGGCCAAGCTGCAGAGTGAAAACTATCTAAGTTAAATATTTTTGTTGCGTGACAACAAGGTCTGTGTTCTTAAGAACCTTTTTTGATATGTTGTGACCAGGTTTGTAACTGCGGCTCATCCAGGAAGTATGAACCCGAACTATTTCCCATGATCACAGAACAGCAGGACTCTAACCTGTGATGTAACATCATTGTAATGATCACCTATGACATAATCGTTAAAAGTGGCACAAATATATTTGCTGTAAATATCAAGGTTTTAAAAGAAAATGTTACTTGATTGTCTATCATTATTACAATGGGAAGTATTTCAATTCTGTAACGTATTTAAAGTGGTTGCATTCTGTTCTCTCTTTTTTTTATGCCATTCTTGAACAACCCCAAGCTTAGACTTTTAGACTGAGGGGATGAAAGAAAACTATACATGTATTTAGGATATACATATGATATTCTACCACAAATAAGAACCCAAACTCATTTGTAATGTATACATGATGCTCATACTGAGGACTAAATCCAGTCAGCTGTTAATTATTTGTTTTGTTGAGTTCTGAGTGCTGGTGGTCTTGTTCTATTTCAGATGTAATGAACAAGGATATTTTTGACAAGACAAATGGATTGTTTTTTTTTTTCTTGGAATAAATTTGGTGAAAGGATTCTTGGTTGGCATCTTTAAATGTGCACACACACCTCCAGTATACTGTGGCTTCTCCATACTCTGTGGTATTACTTCATGAAAGTGTACTTGGTTGTGTGTTTGGGTCATGCACCTTTAAGGCTTTGTCACACTGGTATAGGGTAAATCCCAATTCCATTATTGCATTCACATTTCCCTCACTTGTATCTTTTCCTTGTGTCTTTGTCCCGCACAAGTACTATGCAAGGTAAACAATGGGATTTACCTATAGTCATCTCTGTTTATCATATTGGCCTGTCCCACATACTGATATTGTAGCCCCCAGATTAAAACACTCTGGGGGCTCTGAGGGCAAAAATCCACCACCGTCCAGTGCTAACTCCTCTCTCCAGCATTCAGATCTGTATGTTCTATATATTCTATATTCAGCATATAATTGGATTAAAATGATTATAACTTGGTTTTACAGTAGCCCTGTTGCCTCACAGCAAAATGTTTGAGTTCAAGCCCAGGGCCTCTCTGTGTGGTTTGCATGTTCTCCCTGTGCCTGTGTGGGTTCTCTCTGGGTACTCCAGCTTCCTCCAACAGTCCATAGACACGCAGCTTAGGGTGATTGGCAACTCTAAGTTGCCTGTAGGAGTGAGTGTGAGTGTGAGTGTGTGTGGTTGTCTGTCAGCCCTGTGATAGACTGGCAACCTGTCCAGGGTGTACCCCGCCTCTTGCCCAGTGTCAGCTGGGATTGGCTCTAGCCCCCCAGCAACCCTCTTCGGGATAAGATGGGTGGTTTTACAATACCTGAAGCTTTCGTAAAGGCAAAGTGAGAATCAAAACAAACTCATGCAGTATCCCCTCCTCTTCTCCCTCCGTTCCTCTTCCTGCCCTGTGTATGAAACTCCACCATATGTGGTCACGACAGAGGTTTTTCCCCAGTAATAATAATACAGTGCTAATGTTCCCACCACTATTGCATTGTGTTCAATGGGACATACAGTACTTAACATACATAATGTTATACGGTAACCATGAGTTGTATGTGAAATGAGAAATTTCATGTTACACTTTGGTATTTGAACAAACTCCCCACTTTTGTAGGTCTGATGATTGTTTAAATTTTAACGTCTGACTAAAATGCTACATGGACTGCAGTGTTATGTTATATTTTTACTTAATTTATCCAAATTTATGCTAAATCTTAGTTAATTCAGCGCCACTCCATTACAAGTAAAGTCCTGCATTCTAAATCTATTGTAGTATTATTACTTTAAAGTAAGTAAAGAATCTGAGGGCTTCCTGTACTTCCTCCATCACTGAAAAATAGCTATTAATGTAGTACATAGCAGGTACAGAAAGAATCACCATACACAAGAGGGGGCGGCTGTGGATCAGGAGGTAGAGTGGTTGTCCCCTAACCGGAAGGTTCAATTCCCCTTCTCCTCAGACCACAGGTTGAAGTGTCCTTGGGCAAGCCACTGAAGCCCAAGTTGCTCCTGATGGCCAAGTCAGCGCCTTGCAGGGACAGTGCCATCATTGGTGTGTGAGTTTGCGCTGCAGATGGCTGCGTTAGTTCTGTACCTGAGACAAATTCCTTGTGTGTGTGTGTGTGTGTGTGTGTAAAACATACTTGGCCACTAAAAGTTATTAAATTAATTCTAATTAAAAATGGCTCTAATATCTAAACTCTCTAATGTATCTAAATTATACTAAGGTCAGTGGTGGAATGTAACTACATTATTCAAGTAGCCTATCATACTTAAGTAGCCTATAATTTTGAGGTACATATATTTTCTTTTCATGCCATGTTATACTTCTACTGCACTCCAAATACTCCACTATCGGACAAAAGTGCAGAAGTTGAGAAAATGTTCCCCACTATTGATTTCTCGCGTGAGTTGGGGTGCGTGAGCTCTGCGCAATGAGAACTCCAGGTAGTCCGCCATTGCTTTATGAAGAACTGTAGGCTTTGGCGTTTGGCTGTCAACAATAAACTTACGGTGCTGGGACGCGGAGCTGCGAGGTCGAGTGAAGGCTCGTTGGCTGCTCCATAAACCAGTAGTCACGCCCTTCCCTGCTCGAAGAACACTTTCATGTGAATACAGAGCTCACGGACGAGGCAATCATGTCCAATCTCAGCAAAGGCGGCACCAAGAAGGACACCAAAATGAGGATACGGGCCTTTCCTGTAAGTGCACATCGCAGAAGGTGCTCTGCCTGTCGGAGAGGCGGTGACTCGATTATCGTGGTCTGGGCTGTTGGCTAAATGCTAGCAGACTAACCAGCTGAGCAGCAGATATGACTTGCCTAACCGTAAACAAAGTGCAGCTGTCAAATGTCCACTCGCCTCTAGTTTAGGTTGGTTGGTTTGGCGGCTACTATCCTATATTACAATCTCATCTATAAGTGTAACGTCAATGAATCACTTTTGTTGTTGTTGTTAACGTTAAAGTATCTCACAACTCCCCAAATGCTAGCTAGCCGACAGAATCTGTCGACATAGCTGACGCTAGCGTTAGCACTGGCTCTTGACACTTGTTGTTTTGATTGCTTTTGGCTTTCCTTATAAAATATATGCCGTCGTTGTGTCTGAGCTCTAAATCTGACGGACTTTCTGGACTGAAATGCCAGCTGTGTTTTCAGCTGTATGCAGGAGCAATCAGCAACATCACTACAGCAGCACAAGGATGCTAACAAAAACCAAACCAGTTAACTAATCTGGTTGTGGGTTCGCTTTAATAGCTATATTAATTGTGTCAAAGTCCCAGTTCTGTTGTAACTTAAGTGTTGAAATTGTGGTTCAGGATTCCTATTCTTGTCTACTGGATTTCCTTTGTCTGCAAGTCATTGTAAGACCTCATTTATGAATTGACCTCATTCTGCATAAAGTGAAATTGCAGCCTGTCTGTGACTGGCCAACAGGGACTGAACTTATCCAGATCCATGTTTGGTTGCTTCTCTTTAAGTAATTTCAAGTTGTGTGCTAGCTAGTCTGAGTTAATACTGCAAGGACTGTTGCTTACAGTGTGTGAGCAATTCAACAGAATGTGGCCCAGTCCTGACAGAAACATATTTTGACATGCATGTCTTTGGGCTTATCTGCTGAGAAGGAGTGCACACTGTGCCTCCTCATTAGGGGGCAGTATATGTTAGAGTTTCTCATTTGCTCCCAAGTGTTAGGAACGCACACGAAAGCTGAGAATAACTGCTTGAGTTTAAAGCATTTGAAATTTGTAATTATAACAATGCACCACGTTTTATTGCTGTGCAGAACTACATGATTTTCACTCTGTCTATAGTAACTGGTGGCTTAAAAATCCCTGCTCCTGCATTTCTTGTTTATCAGCAGAAATTAGACACACATTTTCAACCACACTGTACAAACATAAACTACCAGCTTTAAACTGAACTCGAAAATTTTGAGAACAAATCTTGCAATAGATTTCATTGTGCATAAATAGTTATTAAGGGTTGTGCATTATGGAAGTGACAGTATATTAAAATTCAGTATATTGCAATATAAAAATGTCACAACATGCATCACTTTGTCTAGTGATATATATTGTGTGGTGTCCATACACCAGCGGCTTCATATTTTTTGTAAATAACCTAATAGAACATACCAAGTCAATATATCTGGTTGTTCTTTACATAATCAAACCAGTGCTAGAAAAAGGGGAGAAAAAAGAGGAATGAAGTACAGGTATTCTGCAGCTAGTCATACATTGTTGTCATTGAATTTTTAATTGTATCATGATTGAATCAAATCATACACAAACATATTGCGCATTGAATCATATCAATAAAAGTCATACAGATTTGTTGTTCATTGTCTTCCTCAAGCACACTTAGGAAACTGAACATCTGCTCATTGCCCTTTATTGAATAGACTGTCCCACCACTATTCCAATAATTTATTCAGTTATTAAGGTAAACTGAGATCAAATAAATGTGAAGATGTGATTCATCCTAATCAAAATGAGCTAACCTTACTGTAGATATCATACCAATGTTATTGAAGTATCTCACACAATACCAGGTACCTGACAAGTAACTTGCAAAATTATGTGTAAAGGGTAAAAATATATTTTAATTCATAGATACAGACACATGTATATGAATGGAAATAAAGTGAATTTCATATCGGGGCAAAAGGTCCTGTTCCCTGCTTAAGTTCTTGTAGGCTATAACAAGTTCACCGTGTTAGTGCATGGTCATCTTATTCAACCCATCACTGACTACTTTTTGCAGATGACAATGGATGAAAAGTATGTCAACAATATCTGGGACCTTCTGAAGAACGCCATCCAGGAGATTCAGAGGAAAAATAACAGCGGCCTG